GACAAGGAAGACATACAACTGCAAATCCAAATTTATTCCGTTGTATATAATAATACGAATATATAATAAATAGCATTTGTATAGCACAAAATTCTACAGTAAAATTTTAACCCTTTGAGCCGATGGGGGTGTAAAACTGCTCGTACGCCTAGCCACCAGTACACCAATGAGCAAGACCCTATCTCCAACCCGACCCATCTGAAACAAAATGCACATGAAAAACAGTGTTTACTACAAAGGATTTTTAAAAAAGTTTTAGTGGAGGTTTTTCGGCGCTCGCAATTGCATAAGGTCATACGAGTGCCAGAAGATTAATGCTGTTACAAGAGAGTAACAAACATAAAAAAGAAAAAGGGGAGATAAGGACGATAGATGTTTGATAGGAAAGAAGAAGCAAACCACACGAGAGCACCCACCAACCAGCCACAAATGAAGTTTTTGATTATTTTGAAGATCTTTCTGAATTACATGCTGGTAATGATGAGGACTACCGTGAGTTGGATATGGAAAGTGATTCTGATGATACTATGGCATCATGGTAGCCTGAGGAGGATAGGGCTGGATGGATTAAGTATGGATTTCAGACAGGAAAACTTTTGACTCACTGTAAGGCAAAGAGAATGAAGTCAGCCATGTCCTCCAGGTAAAACTCTGGCAGAGCGGAAAAGTACCCGGGAACAGACGACGGGAGGGGGAGCTGCTCACTGAAACACAAAGACAACACCAGACGTCAACACCACTTCTCATAACTAACAACCATAAACACCACTTCTCGTAACTCATAATAATCAACACCACTTCTAATGACTAAAAACCATCAACACCACTTCTCACAACTTACAGCCATCAGTGCCACTTCTCATAACTCATAACCATTAACACCACTTCTCATAACTCATAACCATCAGCATCACTTCTCATATTATAGCTCAAAACTTACAACTATCTTCTCCTAACTCATAACCATCAACATTGCTTCTCATAACTAACAAACACCTCCCAACTCACAATCACCAACACCATTTCTCATAACTTACAACCATCAACACCACTTCCCATTATTCATAACCATCTGCAGCACTTCTCATAACTTACAACCATCAACACCACTTCTCATAACTTACAACCATCAACACCACTTCTCATAACTTACAACCATCAACACCACTTCTCATAACTTACAACCATCAACACCACTTTTCATTAACATTAACACCACTTCTTCTCATCATAACTCATAACCATCAACACCACTTTTCATAACTCATAATAATCAACACCACTAATCGTAACTCATAACGATCAACACCATTTTTCATAACTCATAACCATCAACACCACTTCTCACAACTCATAACCATCAACATCACTTCTCATAACTTATAACAATTAACATCACTTCTCATCATCATCATCCACCCCCGCCCCCTCCACACACACAGACACAAACACACACAATGCTAGGTGCATCTCACTCCCTCACCATCTGTTCTGTGGGTCCGCCACCCTCATGAGCAGGTCAGCCGTGCGTGAGTAGAAGGAGAGACATCTCTGCAGCATGGCCTTGTCCAGCACGCCAGCGTCGGCGCACATCTTGCTCTTCTGAAGCCTCTGTCAACAACGAGAAAAAAATTGTTTTTTTAAGTCCATTTCATTAATCTTTCAAGATTTGTGCAGCCCCGCGCAGGTTGTATGGCATCGGTGGTCTAGTGGTTAGGCTACCAGACTCGTAATCGTGAGGTTACGGGCCCAACGTAGTGTCCTTAGGGAAGGCACTTTACACGCATGTTCCTCACTTCCCCCAGGCGGGAGTGGATACCCGGCAAAAGACAGCGAAAGATCTTGTCAGTATGTTAGTGTTTTAGCGCCTATAAATGGCTGCTTGCACTGTATGCTTCCCAAGAAGTTGAGGTTGTTTCAGGATGCTCTCAGGTCTGCTGGGGTAATAGTACATAGACTGTGAAGCGCACACAGCTTGCTGTTGAGCGGAGATTTGCACAATACAAATGCTATCTAGTATTATTATCATCATCCATTAGAGTGACAGTCGAGTAGAGTGGAAATTGTCTGGGGCAGTTAGCCATTGTAAAGGAGCAAAGTGATTATTGGAGGGATGGTCAAGAAGAGTCTTCATTGCCGAGACATTTCCGTCAACTTTGGTACAACCTCACCTTTAAGTGAGAGGTGCAACTTTCATGAAATTGAAGATGAATTTCACTTTATTTTCCCTTGTCCAAATTTTGTCCATCAAAAGAAATTGTTCATTCCTCCCAGTCTGGCTTGGCCCAGTGACAGAAATATGCAATGTTTGACCAAAGATAAGAGATGTGAGCACAACCTGTACTTTTTCGTAATGGAAACTTTATTTAAAAAACGAGCGTTTTATATGATGTGATGTAGGCCAATGGCCTTAAACACTGAGTAAACTTACTAACGTACTATGTACAACCTCTATAAGAAGAGTTCTTTCAGGAACAATTTAATTAATTTGAGGTCAAATTTTTTGTAAAAGTATACACCAAGCCCCTGCCAGCGGCTCACCAGCACAACCCTTCTGACCGCGAGCTGCTGGGAGCAACTTGACAGAGATAAAGAGTTAATGAACCAGAAGCAGTTACCGTGTACTGAGACTTCCAACGCTTGAGCTGTGCGCGGCTGCGACCCGCGGTGGGCAGGTTCTTCCACTGCGGCTCCGCCGCCTCCATGTCAGTAATGAGGCGGTGAAGGTCGCGGATGGCACGCAGGCGGCGCTGGTACTTGCGAGTGACCGGCAGGATGGACAGATGGTGGCAGTGGAGGGTGAGGAAGAAGCAGACCGTGGGGAACTTGGGCTCTGGGCGATCACTGGCTGTCTTGATGCCTGCACAAGTGAGGTGGAGGGGTATTGATTGTAAGGGGGAAAATGACGTTGACAGGTGACTAATGGAGGGGAGGGGGGGGGTGTGTTGAAATAATGATGGTGAAGGGGGAACATTCATTTTATAAGGTGGTGGTGGTGGTGGAGGGAGGTTGGGTGGGGTGGGGAGAGGGCTGTTATTCCAGATGGCCATTTGTAAAATAGCCTCCAGCAGTCAAAGAACAACATATGATGACCAGTAAGAATAAACAAAAAAACAACCCCAAGACAAGACACCATACTGGAGAGGAATTTTTCCCCAAGGTCTGCATTTCACAAATTTTGCAAAGCTTCACAAGTATTCTTAAAACATTAGCTTTTCATTATGGAAACTTTATTTAACAAATGAGTGTTTTATATCATGTGATGTGGGCCAGTGGCATTCAACACTGAATAAACTTATTTGCTTACTTAAAACATTAGCCCTACTCGACACAAAGAGGTCAGTTTATTAAAGCGAGCGCCATGCCATGGAGCTTAACGGGGTGTACTTTTTGCTTAGCTTGACACTCTTGTCTGCAAGTTGGCCTAACAGAGAGCTGGACAAAAAGACATAGTTACAGAGGTGCCATTGGACCCCGTGGAAACACCCAAACAATGACTCAAAATTCATGGATCATACCATTCTTCTAATAGAAAAAACACAAAGTATTCCGACAGCAAATCAAAGCATACTACACTAGGTAGACAGAGCGGTTCAACTTCGATTTCAGCAACTTCAGGTCAACTATGTTTAGTTTTAGTAAGAGTTTTACGGCACTTGCAACACAATAAGGTCATATAAGTGCTGTAGATAAGAGAGTAACAAACACAAAAAAGAAGGAGGGGAGATAAAGACGATAGATGCTTGACAAGGAAGAAGAAGCAAACCACACTAGAGCACCCGCCAACCACCCACTCAGGTCAACTATGTGACTGAGAACTATAATAAATAAGCTTCCAGCTAAAGGGGTCTTCAGTACCCACCGTTTTCTTCCTCCCAGGCCTCCACTTCCTTGTCGGTGAAACGCATGCGAGACTTTCCGACCAGGTTCAGGCGGGATGAGTTGTGGAATGGGTAGTAGACGTCAATCTGTTCACACACACATACACACAGACAGAAAGAGAGAGAGAGAGAGCATTACAGGCCTTTGTTTGTTTGCTAGTTTGTTAGTTTGAGCTAAGAGAAATACATCGACACAATAGTGGTCAGTTAGAGCTGAGAAAAAGTACGTCAGACAGAAACTTTTTCTTTTTTACTTAAAGAGGAGCAAATCAACACAATAATTGTCATTTAGTGCTAACAGAAAACAAAATTACGTCGAGGGAGTCTGGTTTTTGGTGTTGTGCATGTGTCAAATCTGGCCCCATTAAAAAGTCACGGAGGCTGAAATGTCCTTTCTAATTCCCGATTGTCAAATCAATCAACAGCAGCAACAATTTGTCAACCCAAAGACAAATTAATATATAAAACAAAAACCATCAGTCAACCCAATGATCAATATATATATATATACAACAAAAACTATAAGTCAACCCAACAACAAATACTTAAATATACAGCAATAACCATCAATCAACCCAACAATAAACCAAATACTATCAGTCAGTCCAGAAACAAATCATGAATCTCCCAAAAACAGAAACTCACCGTGTTCAGATCTATCTTTTCTGAGAGCCTCTGCAGGACGGACATGAGATTCAGCATGAAGCCATCACCACACAAAAAACGCTCGTCGAACTGGAGAAACAGCAAAGATTAGAGAGATGTTACTGGAGAGTAACATAGAGGAGGAGGAGGAGGAGGAGGAGGAG